ATTAGAACTTGAATATAATTATTTAACTAGTAGCCATATCGCTAGGATTAGCTATGGCTATTTTTGCAGTTAGTTAGTTAGGTTGTTAGTGCTAGTTTTGTAAGTAGTGTCACACTTCCTTTTTACACCTACACCGGTAAGGGCGTAAAGGAGTTTTTCCATTTAAAGGACAATCGGAGCGGGATTTGATTATGAATTATTCAGAGTCGCCACTTGGGAATTAATGGTGTCCCAAGTCACCGGTTGCATCCCGAACCGAGGAAAGATATGACTCTGTTAACAGTCCGCGAACCAAAAATCTGAGTAAGGAATTCTGTTAACCCGGGAGAAGGTGTTAGGCATTCCCGGGCTCCGTGGTTTTAGCACGGTCGCTTAACTGTTGTATTTGATTTTATCTGATCTTAATACATGCTAGTTCATGTGCCTTTTATTAATTTTACATCGCTTTTATTATAGTTATATTTTTTAAGAATTGCGACGTCATGAAAATGCGTTTCGAACCACGTCGCAATCAATGCACCCGTAGTTATCAACACATTTCGACTTCGTCGAGATTTGGATTTGAGTCGCATCAATGCGCACCCGAATTTTAAGAAGGTTATTAAATCGTGCCTAAAGATACTAACATAGTGTTATTTTTGGGAAAAAGCCATGAAGTTCGCTAAACGGCCATCCCAAATTCTAATTATTTTGATAACTATTTACTAAGGGCCCCACATTTATTTATTTTTGCGCGGTGAGGCTCGTCTCAATTTGTGAAACTCTTTTCTATCATTATTTATTTTTATAAGAATTACGACGTCGTGAAAATGCGTTTCGAACCACGTCACAATCAATGGACCCGTGATTGTCAACACATTTTGACTTTGTCGAGATCTAGATTTGGGTCGCATCAATGCGCATCCGAGTTTAAGAAAGTGATTTAATTAAATCGCGTCTAAAGATTCTAACGTAATATTATTTTGGGGAAGGCCGTGAAATTCGCTAAACAACCTTCCCAAATCTAAACAACGAGATAATTATGCTATTAATTACTTAAGGATCCTAATTGGTTAAGGCCAACATTTGTTAAATTTGAATTTGAACATCCGGGTGAAAATGCCGAGCAAATGGGCTTTGAACCCATAAGGCCCAGCTCCTACCGTTGCACATGCTGCAGGCACAGGTCCTTAGAGCGCTAGGCATTAGGTATAAAGCAGGCCCAAAATTTGGCTTGCAGTCATACAGCCCAGGGATCGAATCCTTGGGCACCTTTTGATTTAACTAATTTCTCAGGCCTTAATGCACCTAGGCCTTAAATCGATTTATCATCTGACCAAAATTCTGGGCTACCTGCTAGTATGTCAGGCCCAAAA